CCTAAACATCGCTGAGGCTATGCTAGCATATACTGCTTTTGGATGTGCAGAGGAGTAGTCTAAGACCGCACCACTATCTGTTGATTTCCGGTATATAGTGGTTTTTAATTTCCCACCAATCTTGTGTCATGCAGTCAAGGAAAGCTAGTGTACCCGATCTCTATTCTATCTCCATGCTAAACTTAATGTGTGGGTTTAAACTATTGAGATAGTCTTGGAAGCTGTTCACGTTATCTCGTTTGATCAAACGTGTCGTGTCGTCAACATAACACCAAAGAACTATGGGTGGATAATGATATCCGGCCAAGGCTGTTTGTTCGAAGTCCTCCATGCAAATCTTGGCTAAAACTGGGGATATTGGAGATCCCATTGCAAGGCCCTTGTTCTTGTGAGTAACAAACCACCAAGGAATGCAGAAGAATACCAAACGCTGGTTAAAGACTCAGCGATGGCGGTACATGTCTTAGACATGTCTTAGGTCTGGAGAATGTGGAAGTTTTGAGGCGGGAACTGGCTCGTCAGGACAAATCTATCGAGCCAGAATATCGATCAGCCTGAAGAAAGCAGCAACGAATTCGGGTTCCTCACCGGCTATAGCTTCATGAGCGACTCTCCAAGGATTGAGCCAACCTCCCCAGTGCGGATTACGGTATTTCGAAGTTGTGATTGTCTTACTGTTTATCGGGGCTAGATGGCCCAAGTGGTTAGAGCGCGAATGACTGACCGGACCGCCTCTCGACTTCCCCTGTCTAGGCTTGGGCAACCTGGCAGTATCCCAGCCCTCGTACTCCCTTCGGGTGGCATCGCAGCTAGGCACCGAAAGGGTGCTACAGCTGAACGCTTTCTTTTCTCACTGTTTATTCCTAGGTATATCAGATGTTTGTGTAAACTCACTGTAATGCTCGTTAGTATCTTTTCGTTCCCGTACTTTCTACCCGTGTCTCCTTTAGGTGAAACCGCCAAAGGCTTGTACCCTCTGGAGACGGTTCAAACAATGCATCGGATTTGCTTGCAGGCCGAGTCAGCCATGTTTCTTGGTCAAATGTTCGAAGATCTCAAGGCCTCAATATCTGGACCCACCGGAATGACCCATACGACCGCAATTGCTGCAGTCGAGGCGGCGAACCGTTGCAATGCATCGGCTATCATTGTGATCACGACATCTGGAGTGTAAGTCCAATACTTTGATATTTTAACGATGCACGGCTCAACTGGGTCATACATTCACTTCGGTTGTCTTCATGTTTGACGTGGTTCCATACGCAACGCTCTGTATGGACAGTGTGGTCAGCATTTCAGTCAATATTTGGCCTGACTGTGTGATCTCAATTGGTTGAGACGATGTACAAATCTCAACAGGTTGACAAATAGTCGGAAGCCCTCAGGAACTAGACTATCACCACGGTTGATTTGATTAGTTTCCTTTAGAGCGGAATCCACAGACCTTCAATTCATATGTAGAGAAGGCCAACCTCACAAAAGGACATTCGATCCATGGTCGATATTTGCATGTTATGCCCCATCCATCTACGACCAGCATGGTCTGCTAACGGCTGAGCCCGTGGTAATTTTCTCCCAGCAACGACCACCGGTCGAAGAGGAGGCCCCTACCCAACCTGGTTTTGTCGGTAACTGAATGACCACCGGTCGAAGAGGAGGCCCCTACCCGACCTGGATCACCGACAGGATTACACTCAGAACTGGGTTGCATTGTTCATGACAGTTCTCGTTCTGTTGAGCCATCTTACTGTTTAGCGCCTTCCGGATGCCGACTTCGAGTGCACCTACTGCGGTTTCGAACTTACTGGGTGATATCTATTAACCCAGGCGTGTTGATTTGGCCAAGTGACTGAGGATCTACCAGCCATACTACAGTTTCACCATGCACGGTAGCGATATTCATCCTTCAGTTCTCATCGTGAGCAATCCCTGCAGCTGGAAAATCTATGTCACAGCGTGCAACGGATCGTGCGATTGGTAACAATGGGTGGGATGAAGCAAGTCCGGCTTGCAAATGACGGTATTGAGCCAGAAGAGAATAACGAAAAGTTCGTCGAAGATAACACCCAGCCAGGATCAAAACGCTGTTAGAACACATCATTTCAATGTGTCTCCCACAGCTACAGAATCCCAAATAGGTCGTCCCAGTTGTGAAATAATCGACCAGTAAAGCAAATGACGCTGCACACATTAACGAGGATGGACTGGTCTGGGGTTCACTAGGCAATCAGAACAATCCGCTAAAACTGCTCAAATCGGCCGCCAAACTGCTGCTATGTTCGTTACGATGGGTTACACGTTTGGAAGAGATTTGAACCGATTCCATGTGTTTCTTCACTGAAATCGTGCTTCAACTTTGTCACACTGGTTGACATATTCCGTCAAATAACGGTCTTTGGGGCACGCTGAATCAGTTCCGAGGAGAATGTGTGCGCGGTTTTATATAGTTTGCACAGGCGTCTACGGAATCCGGTCTCCCTACCCTATTACTGGTTTGCACAGAGGGCGTAATTTGAAAGCATGTGACATATCAAGGGGTCCCCAGCACAGAGATTTTGTAAGGCATTTAACCAGGTATCGATTTGAATCGTTACGCTAATTGTGCAATAGGAGGTCGGTTGGCGCATGTGTAGCTTTCGGCGAATAGTATAGTCTACATGTCGCTTTATTTATCTCGTCATGTCACCGTTTTTTTGGTTTCGAAACTGTCATGCCGCCGTTTGCGTATTCGAACTCGAACTTGAATTTTCCAAGGTTGGGTATCGCCGTTCTGTCTCTGTCGTCGAGTTGTGTCCTGCAGAACGCTGACAGGCCTTAATCTTGTCTAAAGTGATGACTCGGATGAACCGATTGAGGTAGTAGACAAATTTGTTTACCTGGGCAGCTATATCAGTCCCGGTGGTCTCGCGAAAGATGATATTTCCATCCGGATTGGGAAGGCCAGAGCAGCTTCTGCGAACCTACGTCACCTGTGGCGTAGACGTGACATCAGCTTCTCTGTCAAGGGTCGAGTTTACAGTACTGCAGTGCGCTCCATACTAATATATGGATCAGAAACCTGGCAGCTGCGCGCCTAGGCTTCAAAAGACTTTCAGTGTTTGACCATCGATGTCTTCGGAGCATTACCTCCAAGTCTTGGCTGTATGTTCCACACCCAATTGGATTTAACCACGAATTCCCGTTTACACATGACCCGGGTTAGCGGTGTTGTGCGTCTCCTTCCCTCGTACATGACTTGGGAAACAGTTTGACCAGCTCTCTTGTCCAAAATGAGACAACCTTGACATTCCAGAATAATCGCTTAAGCTTCTCTCTGTATTTGTCTGTTTCTGGCATAAGCGCCCGTCATATATTTAAAAAACGTTTTTTTCCGAACAGGTCATCTCAGTTGATTTCACGGCACCGTCCACGATGTCCAATCTTCTCCGTGACTCGTCACGCCTTGACGGCGCGTCAGGCTAATTTGTTCCGAGGCGTGCATCCTCTCTACTATGGAGGTAAATTCCTGTTGGTTTTCAATGCTATTCTCGCCTGTTTCCTCTCATTCAAACACCTTTCCAATGTAATGTGAATAGTTCTGTAGTCAACTCGAAAGTTGTGATGCAAGATTCCAGCCGTGATTCCTCCGAGACCTGATTGTTCGTATGGGCGAAGGTGTTCGAATCAGTCCGTTAACAAATTTCCCCCTTTCGTTTAACCCTTCTGGTACCTTCAACGAAGCGTTTTTCCAAAACGCGACAATTGAAAGATTACCTTTTCGCTTCTGACCCACCCAACGTACTGTATTACCCAACCGGAATACTAAACTGAGAATTCCAACTTTGGTTACACTGAATTCTGGACGAACTGGAATTTTCGTTCGCTCCAAATATCGTCCTTCACGTGTCCAATCGATCGTATCCCATGGGCTGAATGTGTGTGTTCACGTGACTTGACAGAGTATCTAGGACCTGAACAAACTGGTTGGGGAATTTGAGTTCAGTCGCGTCTAGTATCTGTGTCAAAAATGGTCAACTGACGCGTAATACGAACTCGCGTTTGGAAAAGGGAGTGGTGTTGATGGTCGTGCTCCACTTTTTGATTACATTTCCATCGATTTGACCGCCTGTGTTCCGGTTCGATGCCCGTAGGACATTTGATTCTCGCTCGGCTGTACAAGATTTGGGAATACGGAGAACCGTTTTTACTGTTGTCTGTGAAAAATGCTAAAACCCACAATATTTTCGTTCTCTATTGTGTTCCGAGCATGGCAGTTAGTTTGTACCTCACCAATCGAGGTGTCATCATCAGTGTGCTAGTGAACTTTCATCTTTATCCAGGTGTTTGTCAACCACTTTCATCGGGGATAGGATGTACTAAATTACGATATTCCATACTGACGGAAAGGTGCGTGGTTCGAACCCGACCTCTGCCTCTCGACTTCCCCTGTCTAGACTTGGGCAACCTGGCAGTATCCCAGCCCTTGTGCTTCCTTCGGGTGGCATGACAGCTAGGCACTGAAAGGGTGCTACAGCTGAATGATTTTTTGTGCGGCAGTTTTGATTATGACGTACTGAAAATCCGGATCCCCATTGGAGAGGGCCATACTTTTCACGAACAAGGCCTCCGCTGGATAACCCGTGCCACAGTGCGTTCAAAAACGCCGTCTACTTGTGTTAAAGCCCGCATTTAGTCATATCACAGTCCAGTTGTGGCATTCTTTCGGTGCCTAACTGCTATGCCGAGGACTGGGATACTGCCAGGTTGCCCAAGCATGGAAAGGGTAAGGCGAAAGGCAGAGGTCGGATTCGAACTAGGACCTTCCGATCAGTAAATTCGAGCCATGTCTCGATGCAGAATATTCTTGCGAAAGGTCCATTTTTTATTGTGGTGGTTTCCGAAGCCCTGGCTTCTTCGAAAGGCAGTCCGCAATAGATATAGTAGTAACATATATTAGCACTGTCTGGTTTCAAAGTCGTTGATCAAAAGGCATTAGCAGTGTCTGACCCGATCGTCGTTAGGTAATGTCGACCTCCTCTCTGCTATCAGAGGCATTGCACGAAGCCTGCCCCAGCAAAACAGCCACTCCTACACCCTCACTTCCTAATAGCTGGTACAACTAAATCCGTATTTTAACACCTGTAGACGACCTTTTGCAATCTGACGTGTAATGTTTCGTCCATATTTATAACAGTACCTGCCACCAGCCGTAAATAATTGCAAAATCATCTGTACTCAAACTTCACAGACCGATTCTTAGTGAATGTTCTTCTGAGGAGGGAACGCAGTTGAATAAGTTCCTTGTCTCTCGGATGGATGTAATGCATAAGAAGCGCCACTGCCCAACCATCAGTGTTGAAATTTGACCCGTTTGATATACATCTCGAAAGGTCTGTGGCACGAGATGAACGAGCATCATCACAGATCAGCGGTCTCCTAGCCAACCTATAGAATATTGTCATCATACATCGGATAACTTTTTGTTTACGGTGCTATCGGCATGTATCCCTCCGTCTGTTTGTTTATCTCATATACACAGAACCTCGAATTCCTCAGTGGGACGAAGATATGGATCGCCGTATTCACTTCGCTATCGAGTATGGTCGAAAACGGAACTTCCTCGCGCCTGGCAGCTTTGTCATCATTGTCACTGGTTGGAAGGCTGGATCTGGCTCGACCAACACGCTAAGAGTCATCCGACTGGAAGATGCAGAGACCAAACCGATTGTCGCTGCCTCGAGCTTCAGCCGTTTCTAAACCTTGATTACACCCCAACACCAACATTGTCGAAACCGCCCCCCCCACACCTACCTTGATTACACCCCAACACCAACATTGTCGAAACCGCCCCCCCCCTTGACCTATCGTCCCAATTCTCTGCACGCGCAGCCGTTTTAGTCCCCCCCCTTGACCTATCGTCCCAATTCTCTGCACGCGCAGCTTTCCGTTTTAGTGTCCTCCTAGAAAAACCTCTCTATCTTTTGAACTGTTTCTCTTTGACCACGGCGAACGGAATGACCACGACAAACTACTGCTACTCTGCGTCCTCCCCACATACTTGGTAATGGTCTAACCCTAGATGATTTTCTCGATCCTTCCTGTGTATTTTATCCGACAGATGCATGTACCGAAAGTATATTGTTCTATGTTTGTGTCGACATTGGACACCGACTACCCACTGGTTCTGTATTTTACTTAGCTTTTTCTCTTCGTTCCCTTCCATGCCGCTCAACTTCTCGGCATCTTCTCAAACCTAGTCATTTTTACTGCATTACTTTGATATTTCAAACATGCAGTTCTTCATCCTGACGAAATTCACCTCATTCTTCGGTAGCAATCGTACCAGCTACTACCAGGTACAATAATAGACTGCGTACTCAGAGACACACACATGCATGTGTATTTCTTTTCATTCATTGTGAAGGAAGGTTACCAGCTTACACAATGTTTTCTCGCTCCCCCTGAGCAAATAGCTTCGGAGGTCGGGTTCGAACCACGGACCCTCCGGTCTGTAAATTCGCGCTCTAACCATTTGGGCCATTTCCGGAATTACCCCGGTGCGAACTGGGTGACAACTTCCCGGCAATCCTAGTATTATGGGAATTCCTAGGTTCGATTTAGTGCATAAAATGGGTACGGTAACCATCGCACTTTTCTCCAAACACGCAGTTAAAGGTGAGGAAATTAATCTGACTCAGGGCGAACCACATGTGTGAAGTAGTGAAATGTTCAAGACATCAAACGCACCGGGGCAGTGAGTTCGAGGGACCAATCATTCATCATCATCATCGACAGCAACACCAGATGCTTCACGGACGTACAAACTTCTAAACGCCTTGTAATTAAAATAAAAACCTGGGACCAGCTTCCTACAAACATTCGAGGTGTCTACATCTTCAACACGCAATCACAATCCGGATGGAAACTGATAGCACGGACGCCACTGAAATCCGATCGCTAGTGACGGATACTACTTCAACCTGGTGACGTCAGGGCTTCGATAGGCCGTATCACATTCACGTTACTGCAATTGGACGGTTTGGAGGGGTCGTTTGACCATTTTGTTAGACAAACAAGGCTCTCAAGCATACGTTGTTCCAACACAATAACTCATTCACACGTTTCCGAGTGCTGAGTGGATCGACGCACAGTTTGGACTGAACGTTTGCGGTCGAGTGTTCTGCATTGTTGGTCAGCTCCAATTGTTCGTGGTACAGAAGACCTGAAGTCGATCATTTCTGCAAGATTCACAAAGACCAATGTACTTCCTGAAAACTCTTCTCTCCCGGGGTAGTCCTATGAGGATTGCGCGCCATTATCAGCTGTAGGAACCGCGCAGTTGTCGCACGGCTTCGTTCACCGATGATTTGATGAGATGGGATAGGTAGCTACGCATTGGAAGCACAATGTGGTACAATTGACACGTAAATGCATGGTTGTTGGTAAACTTTTAATTGAGGAGATTGGGAAGAAAGCTATGCATTGAAGGAAATCATCCTCATCGACAGCATGACATCAGCGTTCAACACCGATACTTCACTGCCGTACAACCATGATTTATTTGAAAGCCTTATTGTAGAGAAAAGAGTAAAGGTGGACGGGGGATGGACTTACTGCTAGCTTAACACAATCATTCCGAGGTGCCTACACCTCCAGACATTCACTCAGTCGATCTGGATAGAAACTGACAACAAGAACGCCACTGACATCGGTTGGCAGTCTCCAACCAGGCACAGTGAGGATCACGCGGTCTCCATCCTGGAAGGCGAGTAGCACCGACAGCACCCAAGCGTTTCGTGATCTTCATACTCCTCTGCCAAGCCAAGGGTTGGCCACCTCTCTGTTTACGCCACTCTGAATTGGGCATGGAAAACAGCACTCTCTTCGGCAAACGATGGTTCGGCATACGTAACACATGTCCCAACCAACGCAGCTTCTGGTGCTGGACACATTCTTCAATGGAAGTACCCGTTACACAACCGAAAACACGCTTTCTAACTGCCTCGTTACGGATTCGCCGACACCAACCCACACGAGCTATGGTTCTGAGACAACGATTGTCGAAACCTGAAGGCGTCTCAGTTCCGCTGCTCGAATAGGTCAAGTCTCACAGCTTGGATGCATGAGCACAACTGTCTCTGACAAGCAATATGTCCCGTCTCAGAGTCTTCATCCGGAAGGATGATAAGGACCAATCTAGCCGTTAAAGTATTCCCAGGATGGCGCAAGTGGTTTGCTGTTTCGGGAGGTAGTTCCAATCTTTTGACATTCCACAAAGGTCAATTTTCTGGTGTCGTGAGAGGATGGGATTTGACTTTCACTGGCGTGAGTCTATGATCCTATCTGTCAAATTTCTTCCCATCGCTGTCATCCCCTGAGATTCGATCAGGAGTTGGTCAGCTGCAACTATCCTTCGGATTCTCTGTGATACAGCGCGATTTGGGATGCAGATAGAGTGTACTATTGATGAATAATTGGTAATAACTAGCAATTTTAAATTGTCGCTTGAGACTTTACAGAGAGCTGTCATAATTCTGAGTGAGACTTGATTTTCACTACTTCGGCCGAATACTAGCTGATGTGTTCATAAGCCATTTAGAAGGCTACCAAGTAAATCCAATCTTGGCGGAACTTACAACGCACTGTGCCAATGATGTAATCGCCTTCGTCCCAGATGAGCTCGATGACAAGCCCATACGGCAGTGAAGCTGGATCTCCAACACTCCCCCTAAACTAATCAATCGGATATTAGCCATACTGCCTTGCTAAAAGTCACATTCTTATTATTGACTAGGGGAGATATGAGTTCGTCAACTGTAGGAAACCAATATTGAATGGCTGAAATAACTTAAACGTTTTCCCAGCCACAAAGGAAGGTAGCGGGTTGATATGTGTTCGTCAACTGTAGGAAACCAATATTGAATGGCTGAAATAACTTAAACGTTTTCCCAGCCACAAAGGAAGGTCGCGGGTTCGAATCTCGCTGAAATGCTTCTGTGTCCTCGCTTGGTTCAAGTTCACATTCTTCCCCCTATAAGCCAGCCGGTTCGGTAAGTTGGATTTTCAAAGCCTTGTGAAATCTAGGTAGCTGACGAACCTCACTACGGCAAAGTCCGGATCCTTTCACTTGGTGTTTGTGGGGCCTTGTCTCTGTGCCAACTGCTTGTATCGGAGGATGCTGAAGACTCTCCAACAGCCCATGATCGATTTCACCCATCTTGCCCGAGTTTCAATCAACCGAATGTTTTACTTGAACCCAAGAAGCAAGATTTTAGACTAATGCGCTCATTTGAAAGCCAATTTTGTTTTAATCAAGACCCCCAGGAATTCAGCTTCATCTCTCGTTTCTAGTGCCATGTAACTTGGCTTGCATGTTTGACCGAAAGCGCGCGCACATGAACATACCAAGAAACAGGTCAGGGTGACCTCGGCCCGTTTATGTTGGCCATAAAGCGGCCATCAAAGTTCATGTCTAATCAGGTTAAGTGATAAGCGCCATCGTAATGTTAGGTCATAAAAAAAACAGACTCATCAGTATACGAGAGGCACTTCTGTGTTCCCATTCCCGACCCCTGAGCACAGCATACTGAACAGCGTAGATTCATAAATACTGGCCAGGATCGATAGACCGATGACTCCACCCCCTCCCCTCACTGAACAACCCATTTCAGAAGTATTTTCTACCGCCGAATCCCTGGAATTGTTCAACTGATCATTCTTGATTGCGCGTTGTACAGTCACGTGCAACAGAATGCCGGGCATGCATGAAATTCTTGATTTTGCCAGCCTTTTGGATGCTGGATGACTTTTCGGACAACCACATTACCTGTGGAGCCAAGAATAGTCCGCGATCTTCTAAGCAGGGCCCTCATCAATTCACCCAGATTTAATAGAAAAGTCAACAGAATTGCGAGCTTCCGATTGTTGCATTCTGATTGGTCCTTCGAGAAATCCCAGCCTAGATTTTCACTTCGCGCTGATACGAGCTAGACTGGATGTTTGAAATAAAGCCGATCGACTCNCATCAAATCACCCAGATTTAATAGAAAAGCCAACAGAATTGTGAGCTTCCGATTGTCGCATCCTGATTGGTCCTTCAAGAAATCCCAGCCTAGATTTTCACTTTGCGCTGCTACGAGCTAGACTGGATGTTTGAAATAAAGCCGATCGACTCATTTGCAACTCAATTGGGTTTTCACGATAGACTCAACTGAATCTCTCATCTATGATATTCTGCAACTGAATGTGCTGCACACAGGCCGCCTCATGTTTCAGTTGGCACGATATTCGAGATATCGCAGTATATTTTCACAAAGGAAACTACTCACAAGGTTGTTGAAAACTCTTCGACAGCCCGGTTTCGCCCTTCTTGGGGCTCATCAGACAGGCGCAGCCCCCGAGTTTCCGTCAACTTTATGTTCCGGTCGTGGGCTGTCAAAGGGTTTTCAGCAACATTGTGAGTAGTTTCCTCTATGAAAATAAAGCTGATTCAGTTAAATCATACAGTGGAAGAAAACACAAGTTCTCGAAAGTGCTACCCAACATTTCAGTGAATTCAACTTTCCGATTTTCCTTCATTCGTTCGCTTCCTAAATCATGTTACATTGGACATTCCAAAGCTGACGAGTCTCTTTGGAGAACGGAGTTTCATTCTTACATGATTAGAATTTATGAAATCTGGTGACTTTATGGTGAGCATTTCAGCGCGGTTTTCCGGTGTTCTGTAGCATTCTGACAGGTAACACACACTTCGAACATACTACGGAGAATGGTTTGGGACTTTGGTAATATGTCCAAATACTGGTAGCTCCAGTGAGTCTATTGGTTGTTGATCACGTGGCCGTCAATCTATGACTACCTTCCAGATGATATGACAAACAAGAAGGAAGCTCTTCACCAGAATAAATTAGCACAAGGTCACTGCTTGAAGGCAGGAACAATGTTCTCTCACCACCCTGCACAAATATCAGGAAGAAAATGAATTCGTCTGGAGCAGCTTCCGCATACTGGTTCAGATAAGAATTAAGAAGGGACGTGAATTTATGGAAGCTAGCAACAAACATATCGGAATCGACCACGAACACCAGAACTGCAGAACCCCGAACCACACAAGAAAACAGACCATAAACTTATAAACGAAGCAGGAAAGCCCAGTCCAAACGGAAATACCAGTTCAATTGGAGGAGGTGCCCAGCCGATAATTCAAAGTACCAAACTGATCGGTGGACGAAAACAAACCAGCCGTTGCAACATACGAAATGGAACAGGGCAGCCAACCAATCACTCTCGAGGAGGTCAGACCACAACGCAATACAAATGGCGAAGGGGAAGATCAAAACAAAGGAAGAAAGAAAACAACCAACCAATCCACAACGCAATACAAATGGCGAAGGGGAAGATCAAAACAAAGGAAGAAAGAAAACAACCAATTCAAGAGTT